GGAAGGTGCTTTACACCCCACTGACCAGTTTTCTCACACCAAGGTCATCTTTTTCAGGTTTAGCACTCCAGAAGAGTTCCACAGGAGGATGATGAGGACAGAAAAGGCCATGAGATTCCTCACTTGTGACACATTTTTTTCAAAAAAGAGTGCCAGCAGCTTGGGGTTCCCAAGTCACATCTAAGAAAAGCATTTCTGCCATTTGGATGTGCTCTAGGATTACAGCCTTCCTACCTTTTTCTGTAACCCTTGTTCAAGTCCTGCTTTTTTTTCATGCCTACCTACTCCTCAGTACGAGGAGAGAGCAAGTAGAAGTTAAGGAAGGTTACAAGAAATTAGTACTGCTGAGTTCTGCTCTCCAAGCATAAGCGAGGAGTCAGTCACTACGTGCGCTCCTCTTCTTTAAACTTCATTGAAGAAATCGAGAAACTGTACTGATGAGTATGTTTGGTTCAGTCATGGTCACAAATCCAGGATGGAAGTGGATTTTCTCTAAGGTAGTACACACAGTGATTACCATTAATTTCTATGTGCAAATTTAAATGGTTCACAATTTCAAAATAGTCTGTCTTCTCAAGAAATACAAAACCCCCAGAATTTTTAAACCACAATCCCTACCTGGATAATTATCAGTTTTTAACACTGTGTTTCATTCCCATCTATTACTTTAAAAATAATCATTTATTTAGATTTACCAACATATCTACCCTTCTTTGATAAATATGTTTATTTCATTNACAAAAGGAAAGACAGTAATATTAAAACTATTAATATAAACAGCATGGTTTGCTGACCCATTCTAGCACAATATAGCTGAAATCCTACCATAAATTTCAATCAAAATCATCTGTGTACATTAGAATGTGTCTTTCATCCTGAAGACAATGATTTCCTTTAAGGAATTCTATGAAATGTTGATTTTATACAAGTAATACATGTGCAACTATTAATATTACTGGACACATTAATATTTCCTAAAATTCCTTTCATTAGAGATAAATTTAAAATTTTCCATATGTTTATCTTTCACTCTAGAATATATACAAATTCTTAATAATTTACGAACTAGTTTGTTAATTTCATTATAAGTCTTTGAAAGGCAAAGTAATAGATATTAAATTTCCAAATAAAATGTCTTTCCCACAACTTAAATTTAAAATTTCCAAAGGAAATAAGCTCACTTTCCAATAAAGATTAATAGTCAGGGAGCTTTCTTGTTTTTATTTTTTAAAAATGTTAATTTCAAAACAAAATCAGCTATTGTAATATATCTGTAAATATGTGGGTAATTTTTAAAATTTTTTTATTAATATTATAATAGTAACATTGTTAATATTATCATATGGCTTAACATACAAGTCAGAAGAGGAAAACCTCTAATTACCTACCTCAAGTTATGCTTATTAGTCATGTTTGATTTCAATATAAAACCAAATAAAACTTTAGACTAATAGAGGTGATATACTTAGCAACACAATTCTCAAAAAGAAAAGACCAGATTAGTTTTAGAATAAATCAATGAATAAACACACCATCAAAAAACTTCAAGAATTTTAATAATTTTGCCATGTACTAACTTGTTTTGGGTGTGAGGTAAACACTCAGAGCAGTAATAGCATCATTTGAAGGATCATGGTAAAGTTCAGTTACAAGAAGATCATTATCCTTCATTCTCAAAGGGAACTTCTGCATATCTAAAATATAAAAATTTTAACTAATATTAAAATTAAATAGCTCACTTTTTAAAAATGAAAAAGATCATGTTTCCTTATTCTCATTTAAAAAATGATATTAAATAGGACCATGTTAAGTACCCTTACCTATGTAGTATATTGATCCATTATTACATCCCAGTAGCAGGAATGACCCAGCAGTGTCATAACTAGTTATAGGAACAACATCTTGAACCTGATGTAGAGAGATGATTATTACATGTTAGATATTAGTTACAACTTATATTTTCTGCTCAATTTCCTCAAAATTTTGATTCAATAAAAAGAACATGAATATCCAACTTAAATAGAGCTCAGAAAATGGACTTTCTTTATACACAGACATTTCCCGCAAGCAACTACAAATACAGTTCCTTCTAAAACTTTTTAAAAAAAATTATGTATTTTCAACATCAGCACTTCCCTTTAGGAATTTAGATGGATTATATCTTCTTTTTGCACTTCATTCTGAGATCACAGTACACATTACAATGGGAAGGTCATGTCTGAGCAGGTAGGTCCCTTTCTTCCTATTTTCTCTCTTTAATAAGAGATTAAATGACTTGTCCAGAGTCACAGAAAAAATAAGGGACAGAATTAGAACTATAAAACAGATCAACCAATTTACAGACAATACTTGCATCCCTTGGTAATTTATAATCATTTCTTTGAAAAGGCAGTATTTTCTGTTTTCATTCTCCAAAGCAAGTAAGTTCTTATATGCCTTTTTTCCCTCAAGCAATAAAATTTAAAAAAAATCAGTTTTCCAAGCAAATCAGTCTAGTTACAAATAAAAAACTGTAATTGTGCTAAAAGGAAAACAAAATTAGTATGATGTATACTACAAAACAAAATAAATCACCAAGTGTTAGAGCAGTGGCAATAAGTAAGATCAAAAT